GCAGGGCGACACAGTAAATCGCTTCAGGAAACTGGACCTGGGCCAGGTGCTTACAGTCCAGTAGAAAGCTACTGGGGTGGTCCGGCTTACAGCTTCACATCCAGAAAGCTCAACAGGCCAATGAGAGAGTCACCGGGACCAGGAGAGTACAAGGCCAGCACCAAGAAAATAGCCGAATCATCACCCGCTTTCTCCATTGGCATCAAGTATTCTTCCAAGAATTTTGAATCTGGTCCAGGACCTGGAACATACAACTCGAAATCTTCCCTTGGAGGACCGGCTTTCACACTCTCTGGAAGAGGTGATGATGATTAGAAATGTTTTTCTTTCAAAATGGAAATGTGGAGAACGTTTTATCACAAGAAAGCAACAAATAGTAAGTAGACTAGAAAGAATTAGGGTTTCGCCGAAATGGCGATCCTAGCCGCGCAGGACAGGGAGTTCTCAGGTGAGATTCACCTGCGTAAATGCGTTTAATTACACCCCCTTGTTGCGTGTTCAAGATGCCGTGGAATCAGGGACAAGTAATCAAGAAAAGGAGGTTATCCGCGTTGTTTAGCTCCTTAGCAATGCTGTAATACTGACTTTTAGGTGGAAGTTCTGCAAGCGGAGCTCAGAGCGTTGCAATTGAGGGCTTCTGACAGTGAATTGGCCATTTTAACCCTGCGTTCTCAGCTCGCACAGAAAACCGAACAGCTCAGCTTCCTGACGGATGAAAAGGTTTGCTTTTACATGAAGCATCATGCTCACTATTTCATGAATGTAGGTTGTGAGTGAAGAAGCGCTTGAAGCCAGCCAGCGTGAATGCTCGCAGCTAACCTCTCTTATCAAGGCAAGAAATTGTATGGTGAGATATTTTCTGAGCAATTAATTTCAGGAGCTAGATGCTAACATTGGAGACCTAACATCTGCTCTTGCAACAAGGACAGAAGAACGTGATTCTGCCATCTCTTGTGAAAATAAGGTAGGAAAATGGGCTGTTTATTGCATTTTATGCATCTGTATACAGGAATTACATATACGGGTGGCTTCTGAAGTGAAACTTCAAGAGAAATGCAAAACTTTGGAGTATGAATCTCTTAACCAATTGGATTATTCTTATATGGGCATTACAGGTGTCAACTTCAAGCCCTTCAGACAGAACATACCAAGTTGCGAAATTATGCTGAGGATTGTAAAAATAAGGAGTGTCGGAAGAAATTAATTTTAGCGGCATCTGCCTCTGAGATTCAAGAATACCAGTAATCTGCTATAGATTCTCTTTTCCTTTGTAAGTGCGCTGCAATTACAGAGTTCAGCTACAGATGGCTGAGAAGGAAGTCGGGGATCTAAAAGTTCTTGTAACACAACTCGATCAAACAAGAGATAAGCTCGTAATATTTAGCAAAACAACTTTTCTTCAACTCACTTCTTGTGTATGGAAGGTCGGGAAGCTTGAAACTACAATGGCAGATTATCAGCTGCTTGAATCGCACCTTATAAAAACCGAGGGTGACCTTCGGCGTCTTACAGAAGAGTCTGAGGTCAAGAGTACGGAAACTCTGCATTTACAAACTTTAATGGAGTCGCTGGGAAAGGAGAGAGACCGTATTGACACTGAGGTATGATTCTTTCTTGAATTATGCATGAACTATCTCTTTTTTATCCCGCATAGTTTCACATTCAAATGGACAGTTTCTTGCAACTAAAAGAAGAGAATAAAAGGCTAGTCGCGGATGCCTTACATATGTCGAAGGATCTACATAAAACGGAGCAGGCTCTTCAGGAAGAAGGCATGCACGTTCATCAAGCGGAATCAAAGGTAGGTTTCTTGTTCTTGTCTTTTTGTTTGGAGGAAGTTCAGTATTTTTTATCTATAGATAGCATCTCTTAAAGAAGAGCTTGCCATTGAAGAAGGTTCACGGCATGTGTTTGAAGAAAGGTGTGCTGCAAAGGTATGTCATGCAATGTAGGGATTTCCCTGTTGACATTGGTCATTCAGACTGCAGAGTTGCATGTTGTTAAAGAAGATTTAACTCGAATGACCTGTGACATTCAGGTATAATACTTGTCCTAGCATGAGTGATTACTATGCTTATGCAGACCGTTAAAAGTGAGCTTAAACAACTGATCATCGAGCGCGACAATTTATCAGAGGATGTCAGAAATCTTGAGGCAAAACTGAGATTTTCAGAACAGGTAGATGCCTTTGGAAACATGTGTAGCAACGTGAGTCATGTTACCAGGTTATCTTTTCTAAAGAGAGAGAGGAGGAAGAACTGATGGTCTCCTATCAAAAGCTTTGTGATGACTACCAGAAAGTTAAACTTGCAGCCATTGAAATGGATACGGAGGTATGCTGTGTAATCGGATTGTGGAATGGTGTCATCACGCTACCTCATTAGGGTCGCCAGCTGAGATTTCAGTTGCAAAATACGGAGGAGATGCATTTTTCTTCACAAGAACGAGCCAGGTTACTCGATGAAGATCTTCAGAAATGTTTGAGTAATTTGAAGGTGCTACTAAAAGTAGCTGTTAACTACAATCTAAGAAGTAGTTTCAGGATATGGAACGAGAATCGGAACGGCTGTCAAGATCTATGAGTCACCAGACAACATTATTAGAGGACTGTCAAAAGGAAAAGTTAGCATTGCAAGCTCAAGTAACAACCCTTAGACAGGTGAAGGCTATCAGACTGAAGAGGTTTTTAGTATTTATAGGTCGTTTCAGGCCACTACAGAGATGGAGCAGAAGTACGAACACGCTACCCGAGACATGGGAGGTCTTGAAGCTCAGAACCATATACTAACTGACGTTCTAGAGGAAAGAGCGCAGGTTGGTCTTAGCACACTGAGGAACGCATTACCTTAGAAGGTTTACTCGCAGGAAATAGAAGCCATATCTGCCAGGTATAGATTGGAACAGGAGCATGTGAGAGAGGTGGAGAAACTTCTGTCATGTGTTCGTGCTCACGAGCACCAGAGGGAACTAGAATCAAAAGTGGGTATCGTTGACAAGAAGTTCATGTGTCTTACATCATGGATGCAGGAGAATGAAACCAAGAATATTCTAATGAGAGAACGTCTTGTTTCTTTGGAAGAACAGGTAGTCGTCAAACGTGTGTATATTTAGTAAACTAATATTTGAACAGGTTCAAATGTTGCGTGCTACTAGGGATTCACAAAATAAAGAAATCATGCGGTTGCAAGCTCGTCTACATATTCATGTAAACCGTCATGTAAAGTTGTTACTCTAACCATGATATTTCAGGATCAATTACCAAGAAAAGATACATATTCGTCAATATTGGTTCACAGCGTATGCCCTAGTGATGTTGCCAAGGTACTTCAGTTCTTTTTGTATCTGGCTGACTGAAGGTATCAGGAACATGAAGATCACAATGCCACATTGACAGCCGACTTGTCTAAAACGTCGGTGATATATAAAGATTGTTTGGAAAGACTTCATCAAACTGAGTCGCAGTAAGAATTGCGAAAATGCTAATTTTACAAAACATAAACCTTTTAACAGGTGTGCCCAGCAAAAAAGGGACTATGACAACATCCTTGAGCTACTTGCAAAGGTTTCCGTATCCAGTCTTGGTTTTATTCATTAGCTTCTTGATAGGTAGATGAGGAGAGAACGCAGCTGCAGAAGAAATGCTCGGAATTGCTAGCGAGGGATAAAAAAGCACCACCGATGCAGGTCAGTATGCATGCCCTTTCAAAAAAGCTCCTTATGGTTAATCAGCAGCTAGGAGCATAAAAAATTGTGGGTAGCGACAACTTTATGTAGATTATTAAAGTGCTTTGGTTGAATGGCAAATTAGGGCTCTTAAAGATTTCCCGCTCTGTCATTTCTTGTCGCTCCAATGGTGGATGACGAACAGGTAAGGAATCCTTGAGCTGGATGGACTGATCTTCTCATTTCTTCTGGCCTTTGCAGCCAAAAAGTCCATTGAGCGCGTTGCGCTCTCCAGAGCCATCAGGCACACCAACACTCAAAAGTACCTTAGCATGCAGGTTCTCATTTCCCCATTGTAAGTTCAAAGCTGATTGTTCGTCAGGCCTTCGGCAATTGGCTTTCACCTCAATAACTTTGAATCGATATATCCCACATCCATTGTCGCTGAAGAGAAATGCAGTCATTCCCTCAAATCAGAATCTGAAGAGCCTTATTTTATCAAAACTCGTATGCTATTGAATCTGTTAGTATAGAAAAAGCTCAGCCTTTTGTTTCAGATTGTGAAGACGATCTTTGCGTTTGGCATCCTTCTATACTGGATGTTGAACCAGAGGAAAAAAATAGCAGGTTATTTTAAGGCACAGTGGCTGTAAAATATTTATCCCTGAAATTACAGACATGATAAAAAAGAAGTTCTGCAAGGAAGTAGCTCGAATTTTGAGGCTTTTGATTTGTCCTCAAAACATCACACGTGGACGTCTTTACCAGAATTTAAACAGGGTGGATACCAAGATCCAGCAATGGATTGCAAGGCTATCAAAAGCTTTCCATTTGAAGGTATGATGCCGTGTGGTTACCCTATGTGCTCATCCGTATGTTTTGAAGATGTTGCTCACAGAGATGGACAAACTGAGGCCAGTGCTCTACAAACTCGATTTGCTGAGCTATTTAGAAAAGTCGTACAATATTTATGCTACTTTAACTTATGCTTTCAATTTGTTCAGGTAACAGCAAATCTAAGCAAGATAAAGCCCCTCAGTGTTTGTATACAGCAAGAGGATCTTCTAAAAAAGGTAGTTGTTGAGAAGGGATTTTTATAGTTTTTTTTTCAGATAAAAGAACTAGAGCTGCAACTGGCCCATGAAAAGCGCCACAGTCAGATAGTTGGGAAGAAGATGATAGACGAACGACAAGTTGCCGAAAGAATTCTGAAGGAACGGCAGGAATTCTGGGAGAAAAAACTCAAGGATCTACAAAAGGAAAAGTATGCTCTATCCATTCGCCTACAGGTGATTTTCTAGGATGTTGCTATAGTTGTGCTAATAATCAGCTGTTTAAGGAGGTGGGTGCCGAGACTCCTCGAAAGCGTATCACAAGGGGTGACGATGTCGTTGTCTTGACCGGAGAAGAACTGAAACGGCTGAAACAAGAACTGTGGGAGCAAGAGTCACTTATTAAGGGTTATCAGGTATGGCAAATAATAGGGTGCCTACAGCTTACATTGTGATTTCAGCTTGAAAATCAAAGAGCAGTTGACAGGATGAAAGATTTTCAGCTAGAGGCCAAAGAAAAGCATAAGCTAATGGCAGATGAAAATGCTGCGCTTGCTTCACAACTCGCAAACATGCAATTATCTGTTTGTCAAAGTACTGGGCTTTCGATGGAGGGGTCGATGAAATCCATCAATGGCCTTGAAGGCCATGCCAGAGAGCTGAAACTCAGGCTCGAAAACGAAAAGGTCTTTTCTTTCACTTATTATGCTAAGGGAACGAATTTTCTGTGTCATCACAGCTCCTACAGCTTGTTTATGACCTGGAACAAACAATTGCAGAGCTCACGTCTAATAAGAAACAGAGAGAGCGAGAGGAAGAACAAGCTGCAAACTACCAGCAATTACTCTTTGAGAAAAAAGAGCTTGAGAAACAACTGAAAAGTCAGGTACCCCTTGATAACAAATAAATTTCCACGTCTCAAGTAATATTGTGAAGGCTGCTACAATTACTGAGTTGGAGATGAAGATTTTGGTGGACCAAACAAAACTTAGGCTGGAAACACCTCAAACTGCACCACCTCATAATCCGCTTGCTTCAGAAAATGGCCAAGCACCTTCAAGGAAAATAAAAAAAGTCACCCAACAGGTCTGTTCAGGATTTGCTGAATGATATAAAGGTTGGGAAGTTTCTTATAGGTTGCAGACATCCGCTCATTTTACCTTAAGAAAATTAAAGACCTTGCTCAAAAGCTGGAAAAGGCTAATGATGTAAAGCCAAAGAAGCTAGATGAGTTGTTACCCTACGAAGACCTGTCATCTCAGGTACTTTTTACTTTTTCTCTTCATGTGTGTGGGTTTTAATTTCATGCAGTCAAAGAATGTCAGGAACATGAAGGACCATATTAAAAAATTAAATACAACAATTGCATTTCAAACCAATACGATTAAAACGCTGAACAACAAGGTCTTGCAACTTGAAAGTGCTAAAGGTAAGGGATGAATCTTCTGTTCATGATGTTTACTTATCGGGGACAAAAACATCAAGCTACCACATGTGACAACCAGAAGGAACCTGACAACAAGAGCTTAGAGGTCTCATAAAGATATAATTGCTCTTCAGGTTGAAAATAGGCTTTCTTGCAGCCCAGCTTACATAAAGGTGGCGAGGTACTATGTAATCAGATTGAAAATCTGCTAGTCCATGATGAAGAAACTCAAAGAATGAAGGAACGAAATAACGAATTGGAGGAAAGGTTTGAGTCACTTGTTGAGAAAACTATTGACCACGTTTTGCTACCAGGGTAAAAGCATTAACCGAGGAGCTGTCTGAGCTCCAATGTACACCTCGTAACATACAGGTGTAATCAATTTTAAGAAGACATCTGCTGAAGTCTCTTTATTATTATGTGCAGTTCAACGTCTTAAAGGACAAGATTCAAGACATGGAGGTTTGTCACCAGCAGAAGGAGCTGGAATGGGAGGAAATTCTCAATGAAACGAAGCGGGTCTATAACATTCAACAGGACACAATTGAGAGAAAGTGGGAGCTCACTCTAGCAGCCAAGAACGCTGAGGTAGAGCGATTTAGATTGGAATTAGATACCATATTAGAAACAGCCTTGAAGATTCAAGCAGCACAACTACAAATAGTAAAAGGTTCTTATTTTTGACTTTTTATAGTGAAACTAGCAAGGAATCCAGCTCCGCTGGCATAGATAGTAATTATGTTTTTTTAATATTATCATGTAAAAAGAGCTTCTTTATAGACTATATTTTTTGTGTACACAATTTTATTTTGCAGGAAACCTTGTCCCTCACATTGTTTTATAGACATTTGTGTCTTTGATGTTCCCCTTGAGAGTGCAACATAAAGTTGACCATGGCTGAAAACTTGTCTTGGCAAGAATATCTTTATATTTTACAGTGTTTGTCTTTAGGATTTGCAAATTGTAACAGAGAATGCAAGCCTTATAGAGACATTTTACAATGAATGGCATATCTCCATTTTTTGGTTTCAAAGAGATTATTGGTAGAAGTATTTTTTTTTACTTACATATCATTGTGTAAAATTTTAACTTCAATGACATTTGGTAAAGCCTTGGTTATGGTAGTTTATTTGTGTTAATATTATGTAAGAGCATTATGATACAGCTGATTTTTATGTTTATCTATTCCAGACAGTGTTACCAAGTTTAAGAACTCCATAGGATAGTTAAGCATCTTCTCAATTGATTCTGTTTCTACAGTATCAGTGCTCTTGTATGTTATTGTTGCTCATTCTTGAAAGGATTTAGTCATTTACTTTTAAAGAGAGGTCATTTAAAGTTGTGAAAATAGCCTTTTGAAATAGGCTTAAGTTGCTTGTCTCTGTATGTTTTTCAAACACACTATCTATCAATTGTTCTATAGTAATGGATGTTAGTGGTACTCTGAATGTCCTGATTAAATCTTGGGAGGTTAGGGAGATTGCCATTCCTTGGCTCACAAGCCATCTTGACCATTCCTTTTCTTCTGGGTTCACTTGCATGTTTATATGCAATAAGAACTTTAGGAGTTTAGAACATATTGGTGAAGATTTAACACTATTTTGAATGATTTGTGTGTGGCAAGCTCTTTTAAGAATAGGTAAGGTTTGCCTAAAGTCTCCCCCTGTCACCAAATGTGATACCACTAAAATCCGTGTCACAATTCCTGATATCACATAAAGCATGAATGGTTACCATGCTTATCTCGTCCTATATGAGTATTTCAGCTCTTCAAATATGTTCAGCAAATATAGAATTTTCTCTTAGGTCCAATGTGCATGTTTTACAAAAGAACCCTGATATAAATTCTCTTTTTCCCATATATATAGTTAAATTATATATTTCTAAAAATATAAATCCATACTGGTCATAATATAAGGAGATAAGCAAATAAATTTTGACATGATACACATTAATCAAAAAACAAAAACATACAAGTGCTAATTTTAGTTCTTTAAAGCTATAAATAATTGGTTCTTGTTAATGCAATGGCATTAAAACCAGCTTTCTCAGATTTTGAGCCACAATGTTTTATCCTTCTAAACTTGGCAAGAAAGAAACCACACAGAAAAAACTAAGCTTTCTACGAAAGCAAGAGAAGAAAGTGATAGATAGATAGATGCACATGTTTAAGCATGGAACTGACTCGAAAGAGCCATGTAAAGAGATTTTGGAGCTAGAGTCCTATAAAAGCTAGGTTGGATCAGATGAAGGTGTATTTGCTCTATCTGTAGGAGTCTGCCTATTAGTGTGGCCTTTGGTGGATTGCCTAGAAAAGTGCATGTAGAAGTCTAGTTGTGGAAAGTTTAAATGCAGCCAAAAGCATATGGGACGTCTTCGACACTACATATTGAGATAGTACATTGAAAGTCACTATTAATACCACACCACTAACTATGCCCACTGTGCTGGCTGGAAGTGTTCTTTGACATCCTGTACTTGGCAAGTGTTCTTCTAATTCATGGTGGAGTAGCTCAAAACCATAAAAGTGATAAAGCTTGTGCTTAATGTCACTTACATTCAAAAGAAACACACACACCACATACAAATGAATAAATTTGGCACATATGTCGCCATGTGTTATGCAGGAACACCAAGTTTGCAGTCCTGGCTGTCTCAAGGAAGCAAAGCAAAAACTGCATATTAATTTCTTGAGATTTTTACCTTTTGCAATATTATTTGAACTCTCTTTACAAAATCTATATAAAGAATTTGTTGTGCTTAGAATTATAGCACTTCCCTTCTTTCCTACATATTTTCAGAAATACAAAACTTAGTCAAAGAAAATCTACCTATGTTAGTATATGCTCTTGTTCAAGTCATAGGTTACAGTCTACAGAAATTATAACCACCGACACCCAAAGGTACCACCGACATATCCGCATGTTACACTAAGACTATATCCATTTCCCTTTTGTCACACAGGTAGTCCAAGACCACCTTCACCACAGTTCCATCTCCTAAAGACTGGACCATCCATCCATGAGTGGTCATCCCATGACCACACCTTAGCAACGTTAACATGCCTGGAGATATGAAGAACACTTTTCCCCCATATCCTTTCATTAGTCCCTACTAAATCCCTGTCTATCCCTGGCAAATGCTTGCCAACATTGCCACTGGGTCTGGGCCTGAAGGCTTGACCACTAAGTCCCATTGACTTCTGGGACTTCCTCACCATGTGACCATATCCTTGGTCATTACACCAAAGGATTATTCCTTTTCCTTTCCATAATCTAGGACTTTGGGATGACATGACCTATGCGAGCCTCGTGGGTACTCTTCCCAACATTCACCTTTAGGTGCCCTAGCCAGGTGGCTAGAATGAGGTTCCAATGAGCCACACTAACTATCCAAGTAGGTAGTGCCACCCACACTTGGACTGGGAGCATTAACCATTTGATTTCTTGGGGGAGCTAAAGCTGGCTCTTGAACACTTTACCAAGCTACCCCATTTGTCTATTCATATTCACTCTAGCCTTGGACTCTTTAGTGGTTTTATCATCACCCATCATCTGGGTATAACCTTCCTGTAAGTGATTAATTTTTCCATTCTACTTTAGTCACTTAACCACACCTTCGACCACTTGGAGGAGTCTCACTCACAACCTCCTTAAGTCCTATTTCGGACTAGCCCTGAGAATGGCATCCATGCCACTCAACCTTTGCACTTGGTCCAAGTGCTCCACGTGTCCGATCCCATGACCGACACCCCAAGGTACCAGCGATGTATCGGCTCGTTATGCTAAGGCCATGCCCATTCACCTTGGTCACACCGGTGGTCTAACGCCACCTGCATCATAGTCCCGTCTCTCAAAGACTGAGCCATTCGTCCGTGAGTGATCATCCCAAATCTACTCCTTAGCATCCTTAGGATGCCCGTAGACATGGGGAATAGCCTTCCCCGACAACTCTTTTCCAGTCCCCACAAAGTCCCTTTTTTTCCATGGCCATATTCGCCAACATTGCCACTAGATCAAAGCCTGCAAGCCTGACCTCTAAGTCCCACTATCCTTTGGGACTTCCTCACCATGTGACCGTATCCTTGGTCACTGCACTAGAGGACTGCTCCTCTTCCCTTTCACTGTTTGGGACTTTGGGATAACATTTCGGAACACCGTGGCTTTACACAAGCCTCATGGGTACTCTCCTTGCCTTTCGCCTTTAGGTGCTCTAGCCATGGGCTTAGAGCGAGGTTTTGTTGAGCCACGCCAGGTATCCAAGTAGGTAGTGCCACCCACACTTGGACTAGGAGCACCAACCATTCGATCTCCCTGGGGAACTAGAGCCGGCTCTTGAACACTTCACCAAGCTACCCCGCTTGTTGGTCCGTATTCACTCTAGTCTTGGCCTTCCTGGGCCCAACTGGCCTTTCCTAGCCAAACTGGCTCCACTGAGCTCTAACCCCCACACTCTCCCTACTATACTTTTGGAACCCCCCGCAGCCCCCCCCCCCCTGGGGGACGATCGCTTTGGGCTTTCACCCAACTGCTTGTATTAGTATTCAGACTCGGACTCGGGCTCGAACTCTGACTCGAACTCAGTCTCGGTCTTGGTTTCGGACTAAGACTCAGTCTCGGTCTCGGCCTCAGTCTCAGTCTCGGTCTCAGTTCCATCTCGAACTCCATCTCGGGTCCATCTCGGACGCCATCTCGGACTCCATCTCGGGTCCATCTCGGACTCCATCTCGGGTCCATCTCAGGTCCACCTCGGACTCCATCTCGGACTCCATCTCGGGTCCACCTCAGACTCCAACTCGGGTCCATCTCGAACTCCATCTCGGACTCCATCTCGGACTCCAACTCGAACTCCATCTCGGACTCCATCTCGGGTCCATCTCGGACTCTATCTCGGACTCCATCTCGGGTCCACCTTGGACTCCAACTCGGACTCCATCTTGGACTCCATCTTAGGTCCATCTCGGACTCTATCTCGGACTCCATCTCGGACTCCATATCGGACTCCATCTCGGGTCCATCTCGGACACTTCCACATGCCATGTTTTGGTCCTTTTGTGTCCCTTTTTGGAGCCTCGCTTATTGCTCGCTTCATGCTTGTTCCTTGAACACTTTGTTGAGAGTTCCACTCCCGCTCTTGAACTTTCAAGTCAGAGCTTTTAGTCCAAACGTGTTACGCTCATTTGGCTTTTGCTTCAGCCACTGCCATGTGGCACCCTTCCGGCTCTACTTTGGGGCCTAGGGATTTTGTGTCTCACACTTCCTTGGTCACACTGGCCTTTCCTGGCAAAATTGGAGCTTAGCCTTCCTCCCCCTACTATACTTTTAGAGCTCACCAAACCCCGTAGGATCTAGGAGATGAATGCTTTGGGTTTTCACCCTCGGACTCGAACTCAGACTTGGACTCGGTCTCGGACTCGGTCTTGGACTCGCTCTCGAACTCACTCTCGGACTCAATCTCGGACTTGGTCTTCGACTCGGTCTTGGTCTTGGTCTTGACCTTAGACTCCATCTCGGGCTCGACCTTAGACTCCATCTCGAGTCCATCTCAGACTCTATCTCGGGTCCATCTTGGGTCTATCTTGGACTCCA